ATTTCCAATGGAGACAAACATGTTCTGAGCCCTGGCAGCAGTGCTAGGTGCAGCACAGTACCATGTCTCCCTTGAGAATATTTTCACTTCTGGAAGCTGCACAATGGCAACCTGCAGTGCTGCACTGAAGCCTCAGCAGTGCCAGGTCACAGCAGTCCTGTTAGGTACTAACAGAACTGTAAATAAACTGAGCTGTTAAACTCCTGAGCTATAGAGCATTGAAAGACATGCAGCAACCTAAAGAAACCAACCAGCATTATTTTACTCATCTAAACGAAGGACATTGAAATCCGGTATCTCTGGGTTATTACACTTTGCACCTCATCATTGCTCTGTGCGTTGGTTTAAATATTTTAGCACTAGTAAAACCAGCAATGAAAGCAATGCGTGTATGAAATGGTGATATTTTTGGTTTTACTATGTATGGCCCACAATCAGTAAGAAGTAATTTTGTTTGTTGCTGAACAAAAGAAACTAGGGATGCACCGATACCATTTTTTCAAGACCGAGTACGAGTAGCTATACTTTTCCTCAAGTACTCGCTGTTACCAATTATCAATACCTTCTTATTTAAGTGTCATGTGACAATTTTTCTAAAACAATACAGACTAATGATTTTAGAACAGTGGTGGAGCGCCAGGGCCTGGTCCCAGCTGTAAATGCTGCACCCCTGGTAGTTCTGCCACTGACTACAGGCAAAGAAAAAAATAAAACTTTACTCAAATACAAATCTCAGAACTACATTATAGAGCAAAGCAGAATAATATGAAGCTACATACTCTGTGTTGATTCCCAGGGCTATGCAGCATCTTAGGAGGCTGTGTTGGGTCTCACCAGGGCTGCGCGGGGGCATGTGCAGGCAGCGAGTCTCATCATGGCTGTGTGGGCGGCAGGAAGGAGGAGGAGCTGATGTATGGCCGGACCAGCGATGTAAACAGCTGCTGCGAGGTAACCACAAGGCTGCCATGAGGTCCCCAGCAAGTGCAGAACCTTATGGCAGCCGAATCCATTAAAAAATTAGCCCGTATTAGCTTTAAGTATTTCCCACGAAACTGTAAGTAGTTCATTAGTTGGAGTAACACAATGCTACTCCCTCTGTGCTTGGGATCCAACATGTTGTATTCTATTAAGAGGAACAACTGAATAGAAAAACGCATGGCAGAAAAAAAACTTTACTCACAACCAACTGTGTAAACAAAAAGGAGTTACTAGCTGGAGACCAGGCCACTGTAGGCAGCAGAAAGGACTAACCAAGGGGAAACTATGTGTCACTTGCAGATAGGAGCTTTGGCAGGAAGAAGCTACCTAATGCTGAAGAAACAAAAGGCATTAATTGAGTGGGGAGTGTGCGTCACTCAGACTAATGACGGGGCATGTAATTCCTCAACATGTTCCATGGAACCCCTTCCATGGAAAGCAATAGAACAGGGGATTATTAGTGGCATTTACCCATACCAAGCAGAATTGAAGCTCCTGCTGCTCAGTTCACATGGTGTATCACACAAGTTTTTAAGAGACTGGGTCACATCAGAGGCTATGTCATGGCTCTGAACCAGGAAAGTGCTCTGTGGCTAGCTAACAGCTCCTTAGGAAGCAACACAGGCAGAGTCTAGTGCCCAAAGAACACACTTCAGGCAGTCCCCCCCATTCTTCGGTCCAGCAGGATCCGGGTAGGACCTTTAAGGGATCACCGAGGATTAAGGCATCACTGAGGATTAGCCTATCTGGATTGCAGCATAGAGAAACCAGCTCAGCAGTAAGTAAATTATCTCTTAATTGAAGAAAAAAAATCTTGATAAAGAAAACAAAATGGCTAGTAAAAAAAGGGGTACACTTTTCTCAATAGAAAAAAAAAAAGACGCCCATCCTCCTATGACACAAGCAAAAAAAATAAGCATGGTGGAAGTGGCAGGTGTAGTACCTTGCTGGCCAAAGCCTTTTTTTGTTTGCCAGTGGCTAAATCCTCCTGTAGACAGCAATATAATCCATTCTTATCAGACTAACTACTGATGCTGTGTCCCGTAATGAAAGAAAAAGAAAGCACGTGTCCAATTGACCCCACAGGTAGACTTTCAGGAAGAAGTTTAGTGAAAGGTCAATGATTTTTAGATAATCCACATGGAAGGTCTGATGAAACTGCACTGTAATGCTGATCAGACTCTGCGTCTGCTAAGCTGCTACCACACTTGTAATAACATTGCACAGAAAAGATGAGACTAGGCATCACCTCTGGACAGAATCCAGATAGTCAAAGAAAAAAAAAAAAGACAGAGATATTGCATTGCTTTGAAGTATAACTGCTGTCACCAGTGTCACAAAGAACACCATGAGACATGTCCTGTGGATACAGCTTATCATTCAAAGCAAAGATCAACTTGGCGTGGGTGGAAAACTATCTCATTCATGCAATTGTGCAACACAGTGACTGTGCGTGAGTGTCACCCAGTTCAGCAATGTGATAAAAAGGGAGTGGCCAGGAAATGCAGAGGAATATAAATACATTCTTGGCATATAATGAGAAAGGTTTTGATAGCTGAATGGTGTTAAGCCTATCCCGTATTTTAAGATCAATCACAGTAAAAAAGGTGTGTAGAATGGGATCTGTAAATGACCTCTTCAGTTGAAAAGCAAAACTCTTGACCTATCTACAACTCATGTGAGCCACTTTACCAGACAAAGGGAACTGTACAGTACTGTATGAGCACAGTTTGCTCGGTGACATTTCAGGTGTTCTCTTCCAAAGATGTGCAAGCCCTGTTCTTCCACAGTTTGTTTCTATCACTCCAGGTACTTGTCACTGACACTTGTTTCCCAGGCCTTATTAGGAAAAAAACCCTTCACCATTATCTAATCATCTAACTTACATTCATCACATTGCAGACCAGCCTTCTACATATTGCATCAGATTACAGGTTTCACTTCCATTCCATCACTCTTGCACAGATTCTAATTTTGAAATCACATAACACATTCCTATAAAAAGCTTCAGCACCTACAAAATGTATATTTCTCTGGCAGTTCATTTACAAATATTACAGCAAAATTGTCGCTGCCAACAAGATGGTTAACTTACACTACAATAATAATAATAGCAGGAATCATTTAGGTTGCGAATAGATAAAAATACTAATTGTGTTTCTTGCACTAGTCTTCTTAATAACAAGATAAATTAGGAAGTTTTAAAGGGCCAGTCCACCCAAAAGTGATAGCTTAGTTATAGGTGGAGTAGACAGTCTGCCTCCGCCTTTCGATTTGCCTTAGATACTTTAACAGGAGGCTCTTTGTGCCATAATTCCTGACTATTTTGGCTTAGCTGGATGTGTTCCCAACCACCTTTGTGTGTCCCGGCAGCCCCTATTGCATTCTCCACTATATAAAATAAATAAAGAATTCAACGAGGAGTGTGGGATTCTTGTGCAGACCCCAGAATACTTTAGAGATATTAGAAATTGCTAGGTAGTGTAAAGCTGGCTACACACTGGTCAAATTTCAGCCAAATCCTGCTGACTTGGCTAACATTGGACCAGTGTGTGACCCAGTTGGCACCTCTCTATTCAACAAAAGTCAATTGTCGGACAAACAGTGACTGCATCTACTGCGGTCAAAATACAATAGCCTGGCTGGGGGGATTCCCCCATAAACGCTGTGTCAATAAGGTAATCCAGAGTTTTTTTTCCCTCATTCAGCTTATGTGTATACAATATGTATTTCATTTATTATATATTTCCAAAGCTTGGGCAATAATGTCCCTTTAACAGTCCTAACCACAGAAAATACGATTATGAGCAGACCATCCTCATGCACATCTGTTATGAGGAAATAGGAACATTTTGGGCTCATTTCATTTAATAATAAAATGTATTGATTTGCTGCGGTTAGGCCTAATCCAGGTCTGAAATATAACCCTGACAATTGGGTTGTGTTTAACTGCATACCCCATTGGCCCCTTTTCATGAATTGCCCTTATGACCACATATCTTTACGGTCACAAAACCTCGTATGCTTCAAGTAATAGAAGTCATTGTATAAATGGTTAAATTCCCAGTATTTGATCTCCCTAAAGATGGAGATAAGGTCTGTCCACCGCCTGAAATATTTCCAACCTAGTTCTCAGCCTATGTTGTGTTTTCTTAAACTTTGGCTTGACAGCAGGTCTAAAACATATGATATGCTCCAAACTGAGCATAGAGTGATACAGGGATCACATGTGGCATGCAAGTATTTGGAGGTGTCTGCTGTCCATAGTAAGGCTATACAAAGTTCCCTACAGATACATGAGGATACTTTTTCTACATTTTTCTTTTCAATAATCTTTACTAATTTTTGGGAAACACACACAACTTACATCTAAATTCAGTAGCCTTTTTTTCCTACATTTTTAATGGGACTGAGCCAAAAAAACTATTTTACTGGTAATTCAAGCTATATAACCGCCCCAAGAAGGGTGATAAAAGTGATGGAAAATGGTTTATCCATTTTACATTTAACACTATAGAATCACAGTAGTATACGACTGTTCTAGTTTCTAAAAGAAACAAAGAAAAAAAGAAAAGAAAAAACACCACCTGAATAACCAAAAGGATGACTAGAGAATGATTCATTGACAAGCCTCTAAAGAACAAAGGGATGACCAATGCTTAGAGTGTTTGCATCAGCTAATTTTAACAACCTTCCTGTGTTGCTTATTAGAAATGCCTCAGGTAAGGCAATAATGAAAAAGTGACTCAAATTCATGTATTGTGTAATGACATGTTAAAAGCCACGACAGTTGTGTTTTCCCAGAGTAGCAAAATATATTCAAAATGACTACATATTGAGTAAAAGTGATATAGTTGGACAGGACAACAAAAGAGAGAGAGAGAGAGAAAAAAAGTTTTTTTGTAATACTCGTACATGACTGATAAGAATCACATCATCGAAGAGAAAGAACAGAACAATTTAGGGCTAAAGAGCATTGTATTCTCAGTTGAGTAGGAGGCAATTGTTACTCAGTAACTCACCCAATTAGCGACACCATCTGCTCCACTATGTGCTTGCTGAAAGTTATGATAACAAACAGCTTCTGTAAACCAAAGAAAGAGTACAATCAATTGAGGGGAAAATTGTTGGTCACAGACAGACAGACGTGTTACCAAGAACAAATGTGGTGGCAGAGGTATCTGCCTAACATTGGATAAGTTCCTGTGCTACCAGGACCCCCAGTGATCTTCTGTCCAACTGATCTGAAGGATAATAGTGGCACAACAGTATTAAAGTACATATTCACTATTCTTTATTCTGACCTGCTGGACAGTTTCTGTGTGCAATATCAGATGTACTTAGGAAAAGCCCTACAAGGCCCACATCCCTTGTTAATGACAAATAATGTTTAAATCAGGAGATAATTTATGTATTGAAAATAAACAAAATATCATGGTTTCACATCAGACCAGTATGTTTTTATGATTGTATGAGAATGAATCAAATCTGTTAAAAAAAAAAAAAAAGATATAAAATTCACTGGAGGAAAAAAAAACATGGTAGATTGTGATAACACATTAAACATTTGATATTGTATATCTGAAATATTACAAGCGGTATATACAAGTACGGTATATTAAACATTCAGATGTTAAAAAAATTTATAAAATTTGCCAATAAATCTAAAATGTATTTTTAGCGAAATGGATATTTTAGGTAACAATGTCTAAAAATGGCATACAACATTTTAGTGAATTTTAATATGCTTTCAAAAAAACAGAAATTCACCGAACAGGAGAAAAAGACCTAAAAGCACAGCTGCAGACATGTACATCACCTGGTGGAAATAGTGGAGGGGATTTACAAAGCATTGCACATTTTTATTTTTGTGAAATTATTTATTTTTGTGCAAATGATTTAAAACATTGTAAATTTTTTATAACTTAATACATAGATCTAAAAAGGTTTTGCAAAGTTTTCATGTGATTTATAATCTTCACTCCTGTGCACATAACACCTTGCCTAGAGTAAAAAATAGATTATGTGCAAGTTGTGTTGTGTAGACCAGTGACAGCTACATATACAATATACACACAGTATGTAAAGTAGATTTTATATTTGCTACTGTATACTCTATTTACTGTATATTTACTGTATATATACTGTGCATACAAGCCTTTGTACATCTGCTTCTGGTATTTACAGGTATCATGCAGTAATTACAAATAATTTAATCTCAAATGAGCAATGTAGTTTTCGGTGAAGAACCTCCTTAAATCTGAGGTTTACAGTAGTAGAGTCCAGGGGTGAGCATTTCATATCACCCAACCCCGGGACATGGAGTTCTGGGTGCTGGGCAGGTGTTTTGTTTTTTCTATATTTAACCCTGCTGCGGGCAAGCAGAACTAAATATAGAGCAGGGGAGCCGACGCTCAATTTGTACAAGTGATCTTGTCGTCTGTACAGCTTGTAGCAGCCTGCTTGTCTCCCCCACCTTTATGGCTTTGGGATGGAGAGCAGATTGGAGAACGCTCACCTGGCCGCGCTGACCAATGAGAAACACTTTTTAGCACATTGAAATACGGTTTTGGTTAAAATTATTTTATTTTTCTTGAGGGAAAAATAGATTGGGCCCACGCTTCAGTCCTTGGTAGTTCGGCAGGTAAGTTCCCGCCCCCCGTCAGGAAGGTCTCCCCCCCCCCGCAGGCTACCTTGCACAAATACTGGCATCTTATTTAATGGTCAGAATTGCAAAAGGAGATGCTGTAGACGCTGCATATTTCCCTTAAAATACTTTGTGGTGGCTACCCTGCATGCGTAAAAGGTTAACTGGTATTCTTAAGTGAATGATTATGGATGCGCTGGCAGTGTTTGCATTGCGTCTGACCGGCCTCTATTGTCCATGGGAGGTTTTATAATATGCAATGTACAGAGCACTGTTATAGAAAACCAGAGATTCACAGTTCAAAGGTGTTTGCATAAGGTAAACTATAGTTAAATATCAAGGTTAACCACTGATTTCCTGAAAACTGTAAGTGGTAAAACTATTTTAAGAACAAGTATTTAAAGTAGGTCTTTAAAAACTGTGAAACAATTTAGATTGTTCTATTATTTCACAGTACTGGGTAAAGAGAAAAAAAAGGGAATAGTTTGTTGATACACTGCAATGTTGCAAGCAAAATATGTACACTGCACATACATGCAACACATTACAGCCTGTCATTGTAACAATGAAAGAGGCAAAATCAGACATCTGATACATTTACATAAATTCAAGAAGCATGAACTTGCCTGAATGTGCATTTTGATTATTGCTTTGCCAATCAAGGTGGCTCCAAAGAAAGTCCAGAAGGGAACCATAAAATGTCCACATGTTATTCCTGCCAGGTCAAATAGGGGATTGGGAATCTGGGAAGAAAAGAATTAAAGTACAATGTTAAAACATCAACAACTATACTACACAATTTCCCAGGTCACTGTAGTTTTTTTTAGTATCCTAGATAATCATTAGATGCATATTGTGCCACATTTAAACATTCCCTAAAACAGAGTTAGTGGCGTGCTGGTGATTCTACTATGTAAAGATAAATCAAGAGACCTGAAAACACTCATATGCTGGATAAGTAGTTGGATTTTTATTGCTAAAAAAGGTTAAGTAGAGGATAATTGCATCCAGTTTCTTTTATGATATCAGGGTTGATCGATAGAAGGGAGGTTGTGGATGACACTGGGCCTAATTGTACTGGAATTTCCTTGTACTCCTTTCTTGCCGTGTTTCTAGAGGTCTTCTGACAGGTTACTGGATACAACTATCAGTGAAGATTTTATTAATTTCTATATGTGGCAATTTGTATTATTGGGGTCCTGTCTTCTTCCATTAGGTATACAAGAGGGCCAGAGAGCCGTCACTAAAACCTGGAAGGCTGGTCAAAAATGCTGATGATCAGCATCTCCATGCAACTTGGTCAATCTCAAGTAAGGACACATGTTTCAAGCCGGTACATACTTCACATGCATCAAATGTAAGGCTCAGGTGACACAATCCATTTCTTCAGACTGATGTATACATGCAGTCACTGTATAGCTGTTCCTTTTAATTAATATGCCATGTGAATAAGGGCCTGGGGGCAGCGAGACATCAGCAGGACACTAATGTAATGAAATGGTTGGTAAAACTACTGCACAATAATGGTAGGGCATATGGGCAGAAAAAGTTTTTTTGCACTGTGATAGATAGTATATAAAAGGGTGCATCTTGCTTAACAAAAAAAATCACCAATAATTAAAAAAGGAAGGAACGCAGTGAAAGCAAGGGGGCTCCAACGTCTTTGATAATCGCCCAGACCATCCATAGGAATATGTTAAAACTGTAATGCTACACTGGTGCAGCAGAGTGTGCAAGTACTGCATATGACTGTGTTCTCAAACATTAATTAAACTTACGTTTTAGAAACGGCATACAAAGGTTGTAAGGTTAGAAAAAAAAGAAACCAAACTGCCATGGCCCCCACTGCTTGTCCTGCACAGATCCCACCATGACCTCACCTCCTGCCCCCACAAACGCACAGAGAGGAATTTATCAAAACTGGAGCAGACAAAACCTGGAGCAGTTGCCCAGGGCAACCAATCACCTTCTCTCCAGTTTGTTCAGTTAAGATTTAAAAATGAAAGAGAGAAGCTGATTGGCTGCCATGCACAGCTGCTCCACTTTTGGTAGAACCCCCCTAACTGTATTTCTGCTATATGATACGGCCCAGATTTTTCCTCCTTCATTACTAGACACTTGAAACTGCTCAAAGCCATAATCATTCCAGGAGATTACAACCCTCCTGGAATACCTATGAAGCCATTAACTTATTGAATGGATGAGACCAATGTATCCCCTCAACTGATGAGACAAATGTACCTTGCCTACCCTGAACTGATGAACCCCACAGACATCCCACCACAACCTCTGACTGATGTGATCCATGGAGCTCTCTTTCCCCCCAGGCTTAGGATGCCTCTTTAGGGTACCAGCTAGCCAGTACAGATGACACCTATGGACTCACTTGATCCCCAACTAACTGATGTCCCCTGCTGACTGCTCATCCTTCTACAAGAAACAGGCACATTTTTGTTGTTCTCTGTTAATGACATATTTTAAAGAGGTTTTCCTGAGTAGTATTAAACATGTGTGGGCAATTTAAAAAAAAAATCATCGATCTAGGACAGACGTACCAGAAATGCACAAAATTACCCACCAGAGAAAGGAATGCTTATTTGATGGAAATGTGTTAGTGATAAAGAAAAGAATGCCTTCCTTAAATCAAAAATGGAACTTGCACTGAACTGCATAATTAGCTTACATCCTAGGTTACGACCTCATCGTTTAAGGGTGGTTTACGTATTCCAGTAAATGTTATGAATATGACGTACCATATTACTATGTATGTAATGTAGGTATTTTTACACAGAGGCTTAATAGTTTACACTAAAAGAACATTAACTCAATTAAATTACACACAAAGTGCAGTTATTTCAATTGACTAAGCTGCAATTCCATGTGCACCATGACAATGCAATACACAGATATATTATACACACAAAACCTTAGAAATATTAAAATATCCAATTGCTAAACCTATACCTATTTATACATTTAAAAATTATACAAGTGGTCAGAATTGGAGCTAATGTAATTGGTTTATTTCCATTTACACAGAACAGGTGTGTATAACCCACTGCTTTACAGTACATGCTGAGTTACAACTTTTTACACTGGATATATTCCCCAAATCCAACAACCCCTAAATCAATAAGTAGGCTTATCTCCAACTGGTCCTAAAACAATGCTCACCCTCTCAAATAGTTTATAAACGGAGACTAAGACTTTTAGTTATTCATTTTCCACGTATACACACTCACAGTGGGTGTACATTCCAGTGCCTTGTAGCTGTTAGCTTGCTTATTGGCGCAGTTCATTCTTTATATTGTATTATTGGAGACTAAGACTTATTTACACTGGACAGTAAGCTGTACATTCACTTTTCATGGATGTATCATCTGTTTTTTTTATTGGTCAGCTAAATGGCCTGTACTGTATACATATATTTTGTTCCGTTACAAAAAACACATAACGTCATGTAGGGACCACATTTCTGTACTGGAGAAAAGGTATTTAAAGACTTTTTACAGCAGTAGCATAAGCTAATGGAGTGCTTAAACCCTCAGGCATCCATTGCATATACTTTAATAGGCCTCTCTGGTGGATACAAATGTAAATACTGACACTTTTCTTGGTGCTAGATACCCAGGTCATGAGTGTAATGAGATGAGGGTGCACCATCTTTCTCCTGTGAACTACTAGTCCCATGAATTAAATACATGAAATACATATGTTCGAAGCCCAGCCTGTGAGACAACTATGGCTTCTTCCATAGATAGAGCAGAGAATTTGGTGTAGACATGAAGGGGCTGGAAGAGTGTTATTCGCAAGATTACCAGGAAAAAAAAGGGAAAGCAAGCCTGAAAAATAGCAAACTAATGCAGCAACTACAGCTAAGGACTGATTAGCTGCAATATATAACATTTTTGTTTACGGGTTTAGATATGCTTTCATTCAGAGGATGCTATCACAAGGCTCCTGGGTGTGCGGAGTGCAAAGGTGCTCAGAAAGGCTCCCTTCACCACCAACATAAGTATACAGAGTTTATCTGTAATGCATCTGATTTACCTAGTGCAACAGCAAATCTGTAGATAGGAGAATGTATGTAGTGGAGTTGACAAAAATGCTGTAAAAAAAAGTTGACAGTACAATACAAAAAAAACAGTCTTATACTGCCATATTATATATATTTATATTATTATTATTCTACTAGACTGATAAAGAGCCATATTATATGCAGTGTTGCAAATGAATAATTACAACGAAAAGAAAGGGGGCCCTGCCTGTAAAAGCAAAAAGGTAAGGCTCACTAACCAGACTTAGAAAGGACACATGTTACACCCTTTGTGCAACCTATGTGCAGTTCTAGTTCTATAAAACATTATTTAAAGCATAATATGTAGAAAAAAATAAAACAACTTACAGAAGCACAGGCCAAAATCCCCAAGAATCCTACTTTCTGCACCAGGTTTTGAACAGCGAGTTTAGCTCTGGATGCAAAGTCCTAAAGAGTAAAGAAGATCATGTTAAAACACACAAAAAAAATTCTATTTGTTTTTTTGGGTTCTGAAATAATACATTCATCACAATACAAATATATAGTTAGTAGGCAGGATTTAAAGCAAAGTTACATTCACTGTAAAAAAAAAAAAAAAGAAAAGAAAAGAAGAAAAAAAGGATTTTAATATAACAGAACATTTTTATAATTTGTATGGCACAGTTGTGATAATGGAATTCTATAAGCAAAAAATTAGAAATCATAGAATCTATCAAAAACTCTTTTATAATCAACGGTCACGGTGGAACCCAGGAGGTAGTTATGGGCAACAATTCCACTTTTTGCTACAGTTTTCAAAAACGTATTGATGGGAATTGAATAAACCTGAAGCTGACAGAATCTACTTCTATTCCTCATCTTTAAAACATAACTGAACAAACTAAAGATAGAAGTGATTGATTACTATGGCCAACTGCTTCAGATTCTGCTCCAGTCTTGATACATTTCCACCATTATATTTCTTGTGAACTGTCAGAATGTAAAAAGCTTACCATAGGTCTGTTTTTATAATAGGGTTATATATTATTATTATTATTATACAGGATTTATAAAGCGCCAATAGTTTGCACAGCACTTTACAATATAAGGAAAACATTACAGTCACAATACAATATACAATAATTTATTAAATATGAACATTAATCTAAATATTTTTTGGGAAGTAAAAGTACAAATAATTAACAAAATGCGTGTTAAGGTGCCCATACACCTTACGAATATCGGCCATTTTTTGTTTGCGATCGCGTTTCCGTCCGATATTCGTAAGGTTGATGGGCAGTGTACAAATACTGTACAATCGTACGACTTTTGACTTTCCAGCAGGATAGAAGTCTGCAAGGTTGGTGGCATTCCCGTACGTCAAAAATCATACGATTAACACTGCTCATGCGCAAACAAAAATCTGTGTGGTCGATTAACGAAATTCGTCCACGTAATTTCTGCTAAAGACCGCTAAATGAACTGTGCAATGGTTGGGGCAGGACGGGGCCGCTGTATGAAAATCGTACGCCGGTTCGATCGGACGAAAATTTTCATCCGATGATTGCGAGGTGTATGGGCACCTTTATTCAACTGAAAAAATGCTGTTGTATTCTGATTTTCAACTCTGGACTCCTGTTCCCTTCCTACTGCGCAGGTGCAACACAATCTTCATTGCGGACATTTAAAATGGCAAAAAGTACTTTTTAAGTGTGCAGGAGTGGAGATGGCTATAACCTGATGTGCGCAGGTGCAGCATTGTGTTATCTAAAGGCTGGCCTCTATATCTAAGAAGAAGAGACTGTCTGAGGATGACACTTGCTGGGAGATGGCACCAGGGTTAGTGGAGCAGCAGACTAGAGCATAGACTATTACTGCAGACAAGACAGAAAAGACTCCTCCTGTATGATATGCTATGGTAACTATCACTTATTTAGAAAATGGACACTTTCATTTGTGTTTGTAATTTACAGTTCTACTTTAAAGCTATAAACGTGTTTGTTGGTAAATGTAATAAGATATTAAGTACCACTGCCTTCTATCAATCATGAAATAATGTCTATACAAATGATCCTTTTACAGGATTCAAATCATTGCAATCAATATACAGGGGACTAATAAATTAAAAAGCAAGGACATTATGAGGAAATATCAGGTATTTATAAAACTGGAACATAAAAAATGTTAAATGTGGCATAATGTATTTTGAGTCAAACTTGATTGAACAAAACATCATCACTAAAAGTATATTAGGATAAATCTATACAGAAATAAATATGTTGTTTGTAATAAATATTTTTTTCCATATACTACAGATGATCGTATATTGTTGCTTCTTTTTATAGTTCTGTGATGTGAATAAATATGCAGTTCCACATATGGAATATAACTAAAGCAATCAAAATAATATTCAATAGGTTGTTAAATAATATTTATATTTATAAGACAGTAAGGGAAATATTTTTTTCTAAATCATGCTAAGAATGCAAACATATAAAATTTACTGAATAACCAAGGATGAAAAACAGACATTTAATTACAATTACTAAATTGCTCAGGATCTTAATATGACTATATGGTTGTTTAAAAAGGCATGATTTTTGTATATATTTCTTTTTTTATAAATGCTAAAAATATGCACATCATTACAATACGGCATATTGAAAAAAATTATCTTGGTGGTTTAAAAAGATTATCAATAAATTAGATAAATGCAATACATTTATGTATATATTTTAATATATGATGCAGTTAGTATTTAGACTGTAAATAATGTATGCATTTAAAACACAAGTGAAATGTGCAATCACAAAATCTAGTTAAAAAAAACATCAGGTTGAGGAATAGTTGTTTTTTTAGTATTTTCTCCATCCATGTATGATTTATCTGTTATCTTTTATTAATTTCTGGTGAATTAAAAAATGCATTAAAAAAAACATGAATTAGGAAGAAAAAAAAATATTTACAGTTCCTAAATGCTTGAGCACTTTTTCTTAAACTAATTTGCTTGAGGCTAATTTTAATATCAAAAGCTAATTCAATCTGAACAATATATTAAATTGGGAAGGGGTTAAATCATTTATTTCAGAAAATTATTTTGTCGTAAAACAACTAAAACCTGCAGTAAATAAACCTGTACAGTATTACAATTTTAAAACAGAAAATGCCTGTGATAATTTCTATAAAAGCAGAGTAGCTAACTGTAATTTTAACAAACTTTGCAGTACAATAATGATGAAAAAGAACAGCTTAATTATTATGCTGCAAAATAAACAATTTATGGTTCGATGTGGGAAAGTGTGTACTCCACAGATTACTTTATATAAATCAAAAAGAACTATGTTCAGTCTAGGGATTAAAAAACACATTCACACACTTACAGCTTCATCCAACTGTAAGTTTTATTACAATGTTCTTGTCTTGTTACCTTCATGTGGGGTGTGAAGATTAATATAACCTCGAATGAAAAATATGGAAAATCCCTGTAATCGAGTTTCAGTTTTTATAACTGATTTGTGAGGCTTAAAAGGAAAACTATGTAAAACTAGTAAATATGAAACACTAATTTTAATTGAAACGTGTTTATAAGACAGACACACACACACACACACACACACACACACACACACACACTGACCTTTAAGTTACACATATAATCTAAAAACAAAATTAAGCTCTAAAATAAAACATATTCTTGAACTTGATCGATAGTAATACAAACCTGACTTGAAACATTTGTTTCACAATTTCTTTTTTTCTATTTTGCAGTTTTAAATATATAAAGTACCCTCACTTAAAATATACTAAAACATATTAAGTATCCTCAAAGTTAGCCTAAATAATTATATAAATATAAATGAGCCAATACTAAGTCTTAGAAATAATGACCAATAATTAGAATAAATGCTGTGCTTTTCCCTGATTAATATTGCGCTGCTACTTTATCTTTACCGGTCATTCATTATCTCAGCTTTAGAAAGAGTTAGGGAGTTAATTTAATTTGCTGTTAATATATTCACCCTATTCTAAAATACACCATATATCTAATGAAAATAAATAGCACCAACACACCTCAAAATTAAAATAAAATAATTAAAACAATCTTATGAAAAATACAGTGGCTATATAAATAAAAATGCTACTATTCTAGTCTGTTAAAATATTGTTAGTAGGATTTTTCACCTGAAAGTGTAATAAAAGTATGACAATTTTTGCAGAGCTGTAATGTTACTTCTTTGCAGATACCATGTTCATTGTTGTTCATGCTGCATTGGAAATGCTTCTACCCCTTAGTCATACACTAACTGCCTGAACTGATAACCCCCACTGAAAATAAAATAAACTCTTTTGAAAATAAAAGACAGCTTGTACAGTGCTTTATTGTGATCAGTTAGTTACTTTTGATTCTGGTGCATAAGCTGGAAAAATACATCAACGTACAACTCCAAAAGTGTCCTTTAGAAATTCCCATTATAAACACAATTTTGTATATAACGCTTACAGGGGGAAAATAGCAATTTTGGTGCCTATCTGTGGGTCAGTGTTCCCAAGATATGTTCAATTATGCAGATACTTCTATTAGTATGAAGCTATACAGTGACATCCCTGAATCCAATCCATATACTTATTGACCATATGTTCTTCAGCCAGAGACCACCATTTTAGATCTCTAAACTGCTTTTTTTTTTACATTTGAATAACTTATATCACATTTCATTGTGCAACTGGGAAAATTCGGGTCTTTGCTTGCATCTTACCTGCTGGTGATATATTTAACAATACAATAAGTGCATTATGTGGTTTG